CTCCTTTTTGCCTACAAAAGAGCAGCCAGACAACCAGCAAGAGGCCTTGGATGTAGCACAAGGTGATACTTACTTAGTCAGCCATTCTTTTTTTTTTCAAATATATATTTTTTTTCATTCACTACACTAAGAGTTTCTCAGTTTCACAATGACATGAGGAATTAAATTATCAATGGATTGTTTTTCTATGGCCAGCATTTTTCATAACAGAAACACTGTAGCAGTTCAATTGTAAGTTTTTCCAGAACCACATAGATTATATTAAAAAGATAAATAAAAATTAAAAATTGCTGCCTAATGTTTCTTTAAAAATATCTCCTAGGTTAAAGGAGTTATTTTCCATTTTACCTTCTGGAACACCAACTTGTTGTGTATTTGGGAGCCTTTTTTGTCTTAAAGGGAACAGCTTTGTCAAGACATTTCTTGTGATTCTTCCAGTTGTGGACTTTGTGCTACTTTTGTTTTCATTCTGTCTTGTCTCATTAGTCCATCAGTGCCATAGACTGCAAGCCAGTAACTGCTGCTTTATGACAAATGATTTGATACTTTTTGTGATACACATCTATGAAAAATATTTTCAAGCTACATACAGTTTACTGGTGCTAAGGTAGCTGATGCAGAGACCAGGCAGAAGGCAGAAAATGTCTAAGATATTTACATCTTTCTTTGCTGACCACATCCTATGATCTGACTAGCCACAGAAACAGAAATAGCCATTTTTGTTTATGTCAAGTGTGTTCTGCTTAGCAATTCATATTTTGCTGCTACCTGTGTATTTTGAGCTGTTCTGAAACAGTAGTAGAGACCAAACATAAATGTGGTCCCCAGGGTGATCAAAGATTTAATCTGACCAGATGGGACAAACTTGAGAAAGATTTTGACTTTCCACTCTGTTTTGCAACAAGAAAGGCTGATTTTTTTTCACCCGTCCTTTCTTTGTTAGAAGAGGCAGAGATCAGGCCATCCCCAGAGAAATGAGCAGGTGTGGCCATTTACAAGCATGTCTGGTTATATTATAAACCAACATAAGAAAAGTTTGAAATGGTTTGAAAAGATCTGCTAAACAGTTTTAATGTTTCATCCCAAATCCTATTTACTCAAACAAGAGCCGATCAAGGTCACAGTAAAACCCAGCCTGCCCAAACCTTTAAAGCTCGTGTAATTTTATTTTTTTAATTTTTTTTTTTTATTCTGTCTTCTCTGCTAACTGAATAGGTACATTTTGGTAATCCTTGCCTCTGGACAAGCACAGAAGTCTTTTTCTTTCTGAATGGCTAATAACAGAGCCGTTCTTCCTGTCTAATGATGAAAGAGGTGGCAGTCAAGTTCTTTCTCTTAGATGTACTGTGCACTCAGGGCAGACCATGGACAATTTTGAAACCTACAGCTACGGGAATCGCTCCCCCTCATAGGTACAATTCTGGTTTAATTTTGTTGCTGTGGAGTATCACTAATTTACCACTTTTATTTTTTCCCCAGTCTGTGGACATGGTAAAGAATTTTCCTCTTAGACATCAAGTAAATGCAGCTCACAGGATTATTTTTTTTTTATAGGGAGAGAATAATACGTTATCAGACTTCTGGTGTAAACTCAGTTTGGATCCTCCCAAGATTCTGCCAAAGGATGAATTAAAATCCCTGGCAGAGGTTGTGTGGATTTGGTTTAGTTTGGTTTTTTGTTTGTTTGTTTTTTAAAAAATGTGAGATTGCAGAATTTTTAGTGACGGGTTTAATGGGAGTGGTTGGGGTTTTTTCTTTTCCTCTACAAGACTCCATGACTCTCAATATTTCACTGAGTTAGTCAGCCCTCAGCTTGTGCCACCGCCGAGCAGCATCGCTAGCTGGGTAATGATCTTGGAAACTGCCCCACCAGTGTTTCACATTCGAATTCACCTTCCCAAATCCACGGCATCATTTTTGGCCAAAGTAATGTCAGTCATTGCCGTCTGCGGCGAGTACAAAAAGGACCCCCTAATGGCAGCCATTTTTATTTGTTTCTTAAGATCCAAAGGCTGCTGAAAGAACAATTGGATAAAGTTGAGGATTGGAGAAGCTTGATTTTCTTGTTCCAGTGAAATGAAACTCCCGTCCTTTTTTTCTTCCCCTTCCCCTTAAAAGCCGGAGTCTGCTAGGGGGTTGTAGCTGTGTCAAAGCCGTTGGGATGCCACTGCTGATCACTTTAATTACTAGGACTAAGGAGGATAAAATTAAAAGTAGCACCATTGAAGCAGTGGAAGAAAGCTTGCCGAGATGTCGGTGAACTGTGAAATATAAAAATTGCATACCAATACATTTTTATAGGAGGGAAACAAGGAATTACATTACTTATTCTTGAAGAGTTTGTCCTTAAATGGTGAAGTTTTCCTCACTGTGCATCTGCATGGCAGATCTTTAGACCATTACAGAGTAATTGGGGGGGAAATAACAGAGCGAACTTTAATGTCAGGTTCACGTCAGTGGGTGAAAGATTTTACAGTTTTCTGTTCAACCCTACAGGAAAAAAAATCGCTGATGTGTTTGCATGGTCCTTTCTCAGTGCAGAGCTCTTCCGCGTGTCTCCTCTGGGGTTTTTTTTCCCCCTTTTTTTTTCATATCTATGTTCATGCCTCTGTACCTCTCCTGAGCACTTCCCTTTCTAAAATCTAGAGAACTGATTTGCTGTTTAGTGATTATTCTGTGCGGCAAAACGTAATCTACCTTCTTTTTCTGCTCTCAGTTTCATTGCTCTTTCCACCACTGTTTTCTCTGCCAAGCTCAGTAACGGAGGGTTCAAATACCTGAATTGAATTTAAGGAAAAACTAGACTGTTTTTTTCTCTTATCCGCTGGTGATGATTGGCTTAATCAGCACAAACACAAGCCACAATAATCTGTTTGCTTGGAGATCCCCGGGATGTTAATGACTATGCTAATAATTCAGGATACAAGTTGTCTTTCGGGAGGAGGGGAGAAAAGGAGAGGGGGAATCAGCCTGCTTAGTTTAGGGCACATTTGTCACAAACACATAACTGGCCTTATTTTAAACTACGTGGGTTGTAGTTTAGGTTAAATTAGATTAAATTGTTTGACATAAACCCACATCAAATCTTAATATAGTTTTTGCATATTCATTCTTAAAAGTCATGCAAATCTAACCCGCAAGTTCCCAGATCCCAGGAGTTAAGAATAGTAGAGATTTGAAAGGTTTTATTTAATGTAAAATTCAGCATAATGAATGTTACCAAATACTGTGGGTCGAAATAAAACCCATTGCTGTGTCAGTTGGCTGGCTAGAAATTAAATTAAATTGATCTATTATAGTGCATAGGAGCAAGGGGGGAAGCTTTCCAGTTGCCTTTCTAATGTGTACTTTACCAAATAAGTTTTTGATAGAACTGTTGCTCTGCGCCTTCTGGGGAGTTAAAGGGTGAGAAAGCAAACAAAGCCAAGGTGCCATCCCTGCCTAGCAGGGCCCAGGCAGAATTGTCTTTCCAGGGGAAGGACATTAGGAGAAAAGTAAATCCAGCAATCTGATAGGGAATCAGAGTCCTGTCAGTCAGAGACAAGATATTGTGCTGTGTCCATATACTTTGTTTACTGTAGGGTTTTATGAGTTGTAACCTGCCCATGCAAGCTGTTAATGAGGCTAAATCTTGCTGCTTGAGGATTGAATTACAGCACACCTCTGGGCTAATGGTTATAAACAGAAAGCCCCATTAGGGCTGCATTCTGATTCAGTCATTTGCATTTTTTCTATTGTGCCAAGAACAATGCTGAGTAAATAGCTACAAACAAACAATTTACATGGAAATGGATAAAATGTACCTAATTAGTATTTTGCACTTGTTTTATTAATGATTGCTTAAACTAAATAGCACTTAGCAGCAGCTCTCACCAGCATCTGCAGGTGTGGGATGTTCAGTCTCTGGCTTGGTGGGAAGGCTGCCAGGACAGTTCTCCAAAATTAGGCAATTTGTTGTATTCCATTAAATTCAGGTCAACTGCCTATACCTGAGTTTTATCTTGGTCATTATGTCAATAACACAGACTTATCAACAGATTTGACTTAAAGCCAAACACTGACTTTGTTACACTTATGAGCATTTCTCATATGGAGGGGAGGGGGAAAACAATCCTGACTTTGAAAAATAATATTTTTAAGGTGAAAACAGTAATTGTTTCCTTTATGGCTTAATAGATTCTTATAGATATGTTTAAACATATTTTTATCTTTTTTTTTTTTTCAGGTATGGTAAGTTAGTCTTTTCAACAATTTCACACCATAGAACTTTGCTCATTTGTGTATCTGAAATATTATTGTGCTTATAAGACAGTTATGAACTATAGTGGGACAGCACTATTTGGGATGGTTCTGGTACCTCCTTAATTGCTGACCAAAGCCCCACTAGTAGGATGTTTTAAAGCAATGCAAAGTCTTTTCTACTGTGGCATCTATTGTTCTTTCATTAATTTTCATTAGTTTATATTTAGAAAAAAAAAAAAAAAGAATCCATACATGTTGAAGGATTGGATTACTTTCCATGCCTCAGATTCAATGTCACTTCACACTTTGAAGTCAGCTTGGTGGTTGGAGTAACAGAGAGCAACATCTTACTTCTCAGTTCAGTTCTATGAGAGAATATTACTCAAACAAGTAATTCAATTTAGTAAAACCATTTTTATAGCCATGGTAAAACTTTTGAAGTTGTTACTTTGAGACAAAAGTGTCTGAGAATTTTCATCAAGGTATTTTTACAGAACATAATTTGTAAATGCTTTAAATTGCAAATAATAAGGTGTCTAATGTATTAATAATTTGGAGAGTGCTTTAAAAAAAAAAAAAAATCTGATTCATGGATGTCTTTAAAAATTGTGGTGTGACACCCAACTGATATCGAGCATGCTATTTATAATGTGGGCCAAGCACCATGCTGTAAACCAGTTACTATCATGATGATCAGATTGAGAATGAAATTGCATTTCTGTCAATTACTGAGTTGGCAACTGTTCAATATATCTTAGCAGCAAGATGAAGAGCGGCGTCGGCAGCTGAGAGAGAGAGCTCGTCAGCTAATAGCAGAAGCTCGATCTGGAGTGAAGATGTCAGAACTTCCTAGCTACGGTGAAATGGCTGCAGAAAAGTTGAAAGAAAGGTCAAAGGCATCTGGAGGTGAGCTGAGGAACCTTGTATCTTATTCCTGTGGCAACCTAGAAACTAGAGACCTTTTGGGGTATCTCTTTTATTCACACTTCAGAACATTGTTGTTCTTCAGGTGCACGTATCAAAAGACCTGGCCATAGATATGTTGCCTAAATCGGTGTTGTATCACTTAATTTCCAACAGTAAAAAAAGAAGCATATGTGTCATTGAAAGAAAAAGATGTTATGTGAACAAGTAGCTTACAATGGCCCATTATTTAGAGACTTGGCATTACCTACAGTTTTTCAGACTGTCATGATTGTTGATTAAAATCTCTTCAATATACATTTTTGTATAGGAGTATGGAAATAATTTGGAGGGAAACCAGCATTAGAAATACTTAACTCTATTTTATATTAAATGTGTTCAAAAGACTGCTTGGGAAGAGAATTTTAAAGATGGCACATAGGAGGTGCGGGCAACAACCTTTTGATTTTAAATGACAATCTTCTGACAAACCACTTGCCTTTACAGATTTTGAGTTGTAATATTGCTATAATGTTATTAAACTGACTTTGAAATGACACTAAAATTCATATACCTGCCAGTGCTATGAGCTGGAGTAATATAGTGTCACTCAAACTCAAATGAGTGCTGAGCACACGTTTCAGTACAGGCTTCTGTACGTATACACATAATTGTAAGCCAAAGTGTCAGGAAAATCCAGCTTTAAATTCACAACACATGTAGATTCAGCAACAATATTTTTTTTTTCCTTCTCTACTGCATGTATTTTATATGCATATATATTTAGATAGAGTCTTACAGCACCCTAAATCCTACACTTCTATTCCTTTTAAAACCAAAGAGAGAAGCAGTGAGTCGTATGTCTCCCTTTGGGTCTGGTCTTCAGTTTTCCTCTCTTTGCCCAATAAACCAACCCTGCCAATGTAACTGTCCTTTGTGATAAACAGGGAAACAACATCCTTGACAGGGAGGGAGTAAGACAGGCTGAGCAAAATGCCACGGTACTTACATATTAAGTAGACTATGGTGTTCTCCATTCCTCTTCACAATTTATGACTCCCCATCCTACATTATTTAATTACTTCTTGCTTGCTCTTTCATTGTGCATGTACAAAACTGTTCCTGCCATCTCTCCCCTCCACTTAAGGTACACTTTCTGGGTATATCCTGAGTGCTCAAGTGGGTAGTGGTTACTCTCTTTTGTTGCAATGACTCCCAGGTGAATGCTGAATATTGCCCCTGACTCAATTCACATGTAGTAGGGTGTTTGGTTTTTTTTTTCTAGAGTCCTGCATTCCCTATACAATGCCCAAGACAAGGTTATAGTGATATCTTGTGTTTTCGAAGCTGTCTGGTCCATTATGCTTCATTAATCTCTTCTTCTGTGCTGATTGCTACATTTAAATTTACAAAAAGGGAATGTACCAAGTAATTTTCCTCGCTCTCAATTCAGTTATTCCAGAAACAAAAGTGACATTTAAGCTTTGAGATTTTTGAGTTTTCAGACACTAACGACTTGCTCGCGATTGTAGGTGAAAATGTGATCTCTTTCATTGTTTCTATATGCTCATTAAGAGTTTCATGCTTTGGCACTGGTGCTGCATTCTCTATTAAAAGGCTTTATTTAATCATGTTCTGAAAAACTCAAATGCCTATGGCAAGTTGAAACTTTCCTGGATAAGCAGCATCCTTTGCTACAAAATCCAGTCTTTTTCATAGGTTATTTGGCATGTGAGACAGAAAATACCTCTTCCTGCCAACTGCCAGAGGGTTTGGGATGGCAGCTTCAAATTTATGAGATGTCCTACCAGCTTCAGGCTGATAAGCGGGTGCCTTGAGATGGGTCCGGGGACAGTATCAAGACAGGAATCCAAATTTCCTCTCTTTTCCCAGCAGCGACAGGACAAAGGAATTGACATCTTATCTAGGTAGTGTCCCCACACAGTGGGACACCTGTCTTCTCTTTTGGGATTTCGGTGGTGTGTTTTCTTTACTCTTTGGCACATCTCTGTGCTTTATTTGAGATGGTGTATTTGTGAGTATGTAGCTCGGATCTGGAGGTAATGAGTAGGCAGCGGAGGGAGGGAACAATGGAGAGTACAGGGGGTAAGACAAGCATAGTGTGAAGAGGCTTCGGTGAAAAAAGTGCCAAGAAAAGGCAAAACAGAGAAAGGAAGAGAATGAGAACAAGAATGCAAAGAAAAGAGATGTGAGAGAAGCAGGGATGGAAAAACACAGGTGAAACAGCATCCAAGTGTGTTGTAAGTAAAAAAAAAAGTTTTCAAAAATTTTGGAATGAACAACAAAAGCTGAAAAGGAGTACTGCAGTTAGAAGACTTACCAAAGGGAACCAGCTGGCATTGCATTGCACTTGTATGCTTAAAGTTTTCAGGGTATGTTGCAGATTTTACTTCTGAAGCGCTGATTTGGAGGGAATGCATATGGTAGCTCAGGCTTACTCATCGTTCTTAGTCTCTGACTCATAAAACAGTGTTAAGTCCTCAGTTTAATATTTTTAACAGGCCTTATTTGTATCTCTTGGCAGTTACCACTGTACTTTCTTGTCCTGACATCTGATTTCTTGTACACTGAACCAGTATTTCAACTCCGCATTTCTTCCATTCCCTGCATTTGCTTCCTTTATTACTATTCAGATGCTCTTGTCATATCCTGTAGCCTTAAAGTGAACTCTGTACATGAAAGTAAATAAACTAAAATATCTGAATATCCACAAGCTTGAAGGGTTTCCCAGAGTCAGTTCTGTTTACATCTTCCCTAACGAGCAAGTACTGTTCGTGCAGCTCCAGTGGCAGCTCCTTCCACTGTGATGTGATCCAACCTCTAGCAATGCTTTTACCTTAAGTTTGTCTAGAAATTGATGCAGTCTGCTGCAACTCCTTCACGTGTGGACAAGCTTAAACCAAGTCGAGAGAATATCAGTTTAACCACAAATGGAGCTTGAGCTTTATCTGAATAGTAAGACATACGAGCTATACAATACCTCTGTATCTTCATTCCACCAGTATTCTGGCATTTCCATTTGGTTCCAAAAGATTCTTATTTCACTCTCCTCAGTCCAGACTGCAGTCCAGGCTGTACAGGCAATGGTCACTGCTGTTCAGCTGTTGACTTAATCCTTTTTCTTCTATTTTGTTTGTTTCTTCATGACATAGTAGAGCCTTGCTGTCTTTCTAGGATCCACATTTTCAAGGAACCAGTTCTTCAGTACTCTTCTGAATAAGCACCCTGGTTCTGGACCAAGTGCTTTAAGCTTTCACACTAGTAATTTGTTCTTTTCATAAAAGATAACTGTTATCTACTCGTCATGTTTTTGCTTTTATAATTTATAATTGCAAAATCCTGTTGTAACATGCTCCCTAAACACATTTCCCTTTTTAATACGTTGGATGAACGCTGGACTGGGGGGAAAAAAACCAAGCAAGCCTAACAATCCCTACAGTAGTTTAAAACAAGGAATCTCTAGATTTGGAAAGATGTCTGAAAATTTCTGAAATTACTTAAAATTAATTCTTTTAATCACATTTTTTTTAAAATAAAATGTAAATGTCCTAGTAGTCAGATTCAGTCAAAGCCTGCCAACTTTAAATTAAAATACTAGGTCAGGCCATTAGCTGGCACTAGGAATTTGTGTCTTCAACACTCCTATCTCTTTTGTTACGTAAAATGGTGGTGTCAAAGACAGTGCTTCTGATCTCATCTTGCCATATTAAACTAAAGAAAATCCAGCAGTCTTAAACCTTGTCACCTTGTTTGGATTGTTTGGTCACATCTGGCATCCTGCTGGATGACTGGTGGTTACGAGTGGGCCTTGCGAGCTGACTTCTCTGAGTGCTTTGGAAAGTCATTGCCTGCCTCAAGGCTTGAGGTGGGTTTGTTTTCCTTCTGCTGCAGCAGTGTCCCTCTGTCTTCCTCTTCCATCTCTTCCAAATGTCCATGGCCCTTTGCTGCTGTTAGCCTGGTCATGTTTTCAGTGTGCCACTGTGAGCTCCAGGATGTGTCTGAGAGTGCTGTGGCCTGGGGGCCCCTGAATTTCTCTGACACCATCATGAGGGATTTAAAATCATGTGAGAAGTCTAACTCCTCATTAGAAAAAAATAGAGATGCTCTGAAAGAAAAAACAAAATCTCAGAACTGTTGCTGTTGTTGCTTTACCATTGTTTTCTCTCCAGTCTGTTTTTTACCCCATTCCTTTCTCCACTTCATGAAGATCACACTGTGCCCTTGTACTTTGTTCACCTAACTCTGAGCTACCTGAAACGACTACAGTTCACAGAACCATCTGTGTGAAATTAAGTGGGTATAAAACATGTCACCGAATCCTGAGTGGTTTTGCCCACCCAGTTGGACACTTGAAGCATCATCTATCAGGTCCCAGGTCTCATTGCAGACCGTAGCTTAGCTGGGGAGAGAAGTTCTCCTCAATCCATCTTGCTCAAGCCTGGGGCATTTTGAAAGAAAGCTGACCCTTTCAGAGACCATTGAGAATTAGTGGAAAGGAGTTCAGGGATGTCATGGTGGTCAACTGGAACAGAGGGGTCCTACTTCACAGACAGAAAAGAGTAGCGTACTTACAAAAAAGGCAACAGGTTCCTAAAATGGGAATTATAGGGACTGCGCAGGAAGAAATTATAGGAAAGCAGTGAAGAAAAGAAAAGAAACAACTGTGTGGCTTTCATGCCAGCAGTGTGGGCCTAAAGTGCAAACTTCAGGTCTGGGGGTGAGGTTTAGTGTACTTCAAAGACAGATGATTTGTCATCAGCATCAGTCCTGGTCCGAACTTCCCCAAACTTCTAGTATCCAGGATTATGACATCTTGTACTATGTATAGGATCCTTTTTGTTTATATGGCAGTTCAATGCACCAATGTCCGGTAATTATCATTAGTATTTTTTCCTATTGTGAAGTGGTTTAAAGTTCCTGTAGTTACTATATGCCTTCTTTCTCCAGACACACTCCAGCCTTCTCTTTTTTGTCATTTTTACACACATGCATACATACACAGGAAAAAAATGTTTGCATAAGTCTGAACAAGTGGAGATAGCGTTTGATATGAGACTTAAAAAGTGCGTAAATACAATGTAACTACATGCTTTGAAAGTACTAATCTAGCTTTTATGGACTTCAATTTCATTATATATTTATATTGAAAATGTGAGTCAAGATTTTTTCTGGGATCTGCTTCACAATTCAGCACTTGCTATTTGATCTTCCTCAGGTTACTTACTCTTTCTGTGCCATAATTTACCTACATCATAATTGTAATTATAATAATCGCCTACTTCATAAAACATTATGGGGCTCATTTACAAGTGATATTCATAAGCTGCTCTGAGAAACTTGGTTGAAAGATCCCATAAAATAAAGTATAATTATAATTATTATTTTATTTTAAATGTATGTAGCTTACAAACAATGCTGATTCAAAGTTCTGTAGTAAGGCAGCAACCTGTGAGTATGCTCCTGGTACACTTGAGGTCAGTGCTTGCTAAGCATGATGACCCAGGTGGTAGCTTTCCTCCTTGTATCAGAAGTGGCAGGAGACACTAACACCTAAGCAAGATCACTGATCTGGGATAAATTGTGTGAAGTAAGGAGTAGCAAGTCTCACCAAGCTGGAAACTCAGTACCCGGAGCTGCTGTCTTTCTCAGGAGACTGCTCCTAGGCCTTTCTGCTGGCCAGACCCATCCAGACCTGATATATGCCAACTTTGTCACCCGTTCTGCATTATAGAGCACAGAGAGCCTGGGGAAAATTATTTGAATTGAATTATAAGGAAAAGCACGTGCACGTTTTCAAAGTTAGCCAGAGATTCAGCACGGAGAACAGCCACTGCGAGGGCCAGACTCTACCTTTATTGTAGCAGGGGTTTCCAGCAGAGCCCCCTGTGTGTATATTGAATTGCATCAGTTTAAAGACAAATCCATGAGTGGACAGAGTGAAATCTCCTTCCAGACTTATTTAATGATTTGCATTTTTATCATAACTCAGCTTGTTCTCTAAAGCATTCATTTTTTTTTTGCTAGTGATGTGGTGCATGTACATAAGAAAATACTAACCATAATGCTGTATGTTCCTACAGATGAGGATGAGGATGATGATAATATTGAGATAGATACTAACGAGGAGGTTCCTGAATGCTCAGTTACTGGAGGTGGAGATGAGCTTACTAACCTAGAAAATGACCTTGATTCAACGGGTAATTTAAATAATGGCTATTTTGTGTATTTTGCATGACTAACACTCCATCATCATGTAAGTACTGATGTGCTGCTTCTCTCTGTCAAAGCTTTATTCCTTTGTGCCTTTTCAGGTCTTTTAAACCCTAATGCTTATTCTTTCTGAATATTTTGCATTCGTGTTTAGATGAATTTTAAAATCAGCAACAGAATTTTTTCCAACATTATTTCCAACAATGGCAGATTTAAATGTCTCTTTCTGTTTGATGGGGAGGGGGACCCCAGGGCAGATTTGTAAAGCAGAGCCACCTGAAGTCACCCTGCCTGGACTGTCCCAGCAAAGCATGATGGGCAGAGGAGGGAGCAAGCAGATTGGGGAGTGCAGCTCCCACTCTCTGCACTGACATGCTGGCCCATCTGCTCAGTGAAGAGGAGCAAACACACCTCTGTGTTTCCATGTAGGCTTGGTATCCCTTCCCTTCCTGAGGACCAGTTCATGTATTTATACCTTGTTGTTCCAGTGGGGACATGGAGGTATAAATTTGAACAGAATTAGTGCTATTTACTTTACAAAGTTCAAGCAATCTATTTTTAATAACACATTTTAGTTAAAAGCATTTATGTTCTTGTAGAAATGCCTGTATGATCTTAACATATGCTGATCAAGTAATAATAAGTTATAGTAGTGGTATTTCCCCTTTCAAAAATTGTAATTGAACAAAAGTGGAGTTCAGGTTCCTCCACAGGTGATAAATATGTCAGGATCTTACAAGGGAGATGCTTATTTAAAAAGGCACTAGATCTTCAAAGATGTGAGGGTGATTGCCCATCAGTAAGGGGCTCCTCTGCTCGCAGGCAGTTGCTGGAGGAGTATGTTCTCTGTACAAGTCTGCCTGTTACCAGCAGCCCTGGGGAGTGCCCGGGGCCTCTTTGTGGTGTGTGTGGTGTGCTTCTCTGCCAGGGCGTTTCTGCTCCCTACAAGTTAGCTCAAGCCCGAGGTGCAGCAAGCACAGGACAGCATCGGGGGGGAAAGGCAGCAGGAGAGAGAGCTTCTTACGGCACCCTCTGACTTGGTTCTGCCCGTGCCAACCGGACCCAAGTGTGTAGCCTATAACACATTAAATCAAAACACTTCATTTAGTGTTTGCTCTTTGTGAATTAAACTGACAGCCATGTGTATATAGCATTTTCTTTCTAGTCTGTTTTGGATGCAAAAGGTTTGAGTCGTATCCTTTATTCTTTTATTTGAGGATTTCCAAACACATAAGAAAATAGACTTACTGTTTCCAGCATTTCAATTAAGCTGATTTAGAGCAGAATATCGTCAAATTCTGTTTCATTTTCAGAGAAATAAAAAATCAGTAAAATGAACATTCCTGTCACATAGCCCCAGTGGCTTACTAGAATTTATTTCTGTGGGCCTTTTTTCTTGAGAGATACCTTCTTAGGGATATAAACCCACTACCCGACCCTTCATCTCCACCATGGGAAGACATTCTGGCAAAAACCTGGGACATCATTTTGCAGTTCAGTCTGCACACTAGCCAAAGGTACAAACAAGTAAGGAAGAGGATGAGCAATAATGTAGAAAGCAGTCTAATGCTGTGATAGAAACCAGTGTGCACAGATTGCAGTGGGATTCTGCCAATTCATACCTGGTTCCAATGAAAGCTGAATCTCCTGGGAGCACCTAAGTACAAAACTATAAGGGCCGTTTCACATTTGGGATCATTATTGACCATCATAATTAATTTGTCCCCTGCTGAATCTTAGTCCCTCCCATCTCTCTGAAAAAGTTAAAATGTTTTAAGTTTTACTGCCAGTTGTTGGTTTTAAATATTGCATCTGTCTGTATTTGTCAGTCCTGCTACCATAACGCTGCTGTGAATGTATCTGATAAAATGTGAACCTCTTATATCATAGTTATTACATGATGTTTATGTATAAACCCACGAAAATGTGCATGTACTTACATGTGAGCCTCAATTAAGGACACCCTGGCTGGGCGTGCCAGAGGAAAGGGAAACTATCCCTCGTCATAGCCCAGCCCAGCCTGTTGCTGCTGGAGGCAGGCATCATTTGATTGCCAGCATGCCAAAAATATTTTGGCTAATATGAATTAGAGTGCTCCAAACCTTGGAAGGAGCTGTGCAGCAAAACACTCATGGCTCCACTTCCCACACCAGCTAGAAATCACCAGCCTGCAGTTGAAAACTCGGGCCGTGCCTATAGAATAACATAACAACTCCTGTTTTCTCTGCATTTGACCCAAGGTCCAGATATATGTGCTTCATATACGCAGGTGATGCTGCATTCGCTCCCTTTCAGGGGTGATTTCTCACATGGTGCTGCATGTGGAGTATGTCTGGGGGCCTCTGCACCAGCCTTATCCTCCTTTCCTACCCAGGGTTGGCTCTGTAGATCTGCACTGCGCTTTGTTATTAACACCTTCCCTCCCTGTCGTGTGTGTATGTGTAGGTAACTGTGTGTGTTGGTGTGTTTCAAATTCATGTAGTCAACGGTCACGTACAGAGTGAGCATTATTGGGAGGTAAAATTCTCAACTCTTATTTCTTTGGGCTCTGATCCAAGTTGCTAAAACTGATAAAAAAAATTCTGGGGCTTCAGCATACTTTGACTCTGTCCCTTTGATGCAGTTACGAAGCATTTTGTGTCTCTCACGGCTTCAATGTACTCTATAAATCATAGTAAAACATTACTAGAAAGCTGCCTCTTTTGATACTGAAATTTTGGTGTTGAGCAGCAGTGCCAAAGAGCCTTAGGATGAATTAGGAGTTCATAAACTTGAGGTGTTATCAGTACTTAGAATATGTGATAAATTGTTCTATGTAATCTTAAAATAAATGTCTCTTTAAGTGTGTTTTTATACCAAAGTATAGGTACGTACAGGTTGGGAGCAACTTAAACATTGTTTACTTTTTTTTATCTACTGTATTCAAGCACGTTTACTTTTTCAGCAAAGTGCTATATATATATTTTTTGAGAGAACTTAGGCATTATCTATGTACATTACACAAATCTACACCAATCCGAATTGCACAAAAAAATAATTTTGCTTCTAGTTTTTACTTTTTTAGTTTGAAAGGATGGCAAAGTGAATGAAATCTACCTTTTAAGTTGCTACATTGTTGTAGCGACTCTGCATTTAAATGCATCTCACTCTGTTGTATGTGGTATTTGCATATTTAGCAGAACAAAACAGTAACTTGGTGGATTTGAAGCTGAAGAAGCTCCTAGAAGCTCAGCCACAGGTGGCAAATTCACTCTCCAGCGCTGCTCAGAAAGCTGTAACTGATAGCTCAGAGCAAGACGTTAAGGTAAGTTTGATTAATGCTTTTGTTTCAGTACCTGTGTGTTTCGATTTCGGGTTTGTACTTTGTGAGGGGGAAAATGATTTCTTATCAAATCCTTCACGGTAAGAAATGCAGAAAATCTTCGTGGCGGTGCAGTTGCATAGTCTGCAGTGCACTGGGGGTTTTCCTGTTGAATAACCAACACATTTTCCATTTCGTAATTATTTTTTTATTTATTTTGATACTTGTCATTGGCGTAGCACTAGTGGATATAAGAAGCACCTCTACATTCTGACTGCTCAGGTTGTCCCTTAAATCAGAAATGCAGCATGGGCTCCGTCCTGCTGCTGGTGTAATGAGCAATGAGCCTGTCCCTGACTTTAACGGGAGCAGGACTGGACTCTCGGTGATTTCCTTCCTTCCCAAGCCTGAACCTTTGTTTTTTCTCCATTAAAATTAAGCCGTGGTACACTTTAAAGGCATACACACTTGGGTGCTTGACAGAGAGTGCTACTGAGGAGAAGAGACACGAGTATGTGGTGTATGTGGTCATTTTGCCTATTCTTAACGTTCACCACTTTGGCATAGAGCACACACCAATCAATTTTCCATTTTATTTTCTTAATTAGACCCCTTGTGTTCTTACTTTTTTTTTTTTTAAATAGTCCCTGTATGTCATTAATATCCGAATGGCTCTGGGGCACTTCCAGTTGGGTATAACTTTTCACCCACCTGCAGTCTGGGGGGAAAGCACTGCTGACTGAAAGGATTTCCTTCCCCAGATACAGAGATGCTTTGAAGTCCCAAAACAATGACTTTCATTGCTTTTGCCTTACACTGTCGGTTCCTATAAATTGGTGATGAAAGTGTGTGGCAGCAGCAGAGGACTTTCGGTCTCTATCTTTGAACAAAAGGAAGCTTGGATCAAGTCTGATTTTTGCGTTCAATTTAGCTTTCTGCAGTGGATTTAATGCAAAATGAAGCTGGCCCAAGAATAATACAATGGATTGAAAAGGCTAACTGAATTAGTGGGCTTAGAGGAATACATTTGTAAAGTGGCAGAAGTCCCCAGTCATAAAAAGGTTTCTTAAAATGGGATTTACTGGCTAATCACACTGATATTTTAGCATGTTGCCAGGCCTAAAAAATTAGTCATGTTTGTTTATTTTGGTAAAGACTCTGGTTTAGGCGGTCTGATGGTTATTGTGCTAATAACAGGAAGCCACCTTTTATTTAACCAGAATCATAACCAGCCGACTAGTGCAGCTGAAAAGTCATCCAGGGGGTAGGAGCAATACTTTTTTTTTTTTAAGCGTAATTCACCAAATGACACACAGGCTACCTTTGTGGGTAATTTGGTGTCGCCTAACCTGATGAAAGTGGTATTTCTCTTTATAAAAAGCTTCTATGAAGGAGTCAGTTTTTTTAAGGTACTCCCGCAAAAGGTGCAACTTAACAGTTTATCTCTGTGTGCATTTTTCTAAGGAAGAGTTGGAAAGCAGCATTATAAGAAGTATATGGTGTCCATCTGTTCTCATGGAGCTCTTGGCATTGAGGTGGATTTGTTTTTTAATAAAATGCAGTTTACACGTTTCTAAATGAGGCATTCTGTGTTTGTGGAAAAGGATAAACTGTTACCTTCCCTTGGGGATTGTGTATCCCCGGCCTCCTTGAGGCTAGAGAATAGGCCATTGGAGAACTCCCTCATTACCAATTGTCTCAATGCAGAGGAAGGGCAAAGTCTTGGTAGCTTTTGATAACCAGTTTCAGCATTCAGCAGGCTTAGCTATTAGTCATGCATCTTAGCCTTTCCCTATTTACTTTCAAAACACTTAATAAAAATAATAAAAGATTAGGTATAAAATGAAATATTTGTTTGGTACACAGCACCTCGGTATCTGCAGTTTCCACACACTGCGGTGGTTCAGTCTTCTGGGATATTTCGTGTTGATAGAATCATTTGAATTTGTTACCAGTATTAACATAGGAAGCCCTGGAAAAGATAATTGTAGTTTCCTTAGCTGTAAAGGGCTTACTTACAAATCTGGCTTTGGAAAGTTATAGCTGATGAAATGCAGTTCAGTGGGGTAGTATTATAATCCTACCTTTTAGCCTTCATCCAGCATTAGTGGTTTATCTCAATGGGCATAAAATTAGAAACTAGTTCTTCTTGTCATACAAGTCTGTGGGACTACAGAAAATGACAGATTTCTTTGCCGGGCAGGGAGACAGGCTAAAGGCAACACGCTTCTAAACGATACAGATCGTGTTCAGGGGCAGAGACGCCGCTACTTGGCAGCAGCATGTGCAGCGCTTGGCAAAGCAAAGTTGCAAAGAAGAGATTTTTCCTTTAAAATCGCCATTGCTGGCAAACGCTGGTCACAATTAATAGGTCTGCCTGTTAAGTGAGTAGAGAGTCCTGCAGGAGAGTGCCCACGTAGCAAAAAGCCAGTCGTTGCCACCACGCACTCAACAACAACAACGACAAAAAAAGGAAAAGTTAATCACTCTTCTTTTTTTTTCCCCAGCTGATACTTTCATCCTATATAAACCACAGCCCGGGTTGTGAAATCCTCTTTCCAAAAGCTGCGTCCTGTCCCCTCACCGAAACGTACCTTTCGCGTTCCTGTCTTCCCACTTGTAAACAAAAGAAACTGTTGTGTGTCTGGTTTTTTCCCTAGCAGAATGGAACAGAGGAACATCGTGCTGAGCGATTACAAAAAGCAGCAGAACGGTTCAGAAATCCCGTTGTGTTCAGCAAGGACTCTGCCGTCAGGAAAACTCAGCTCCAGTCTTTCAGTCAATACGTGGAGAGCAGACCAGGTAGGAGAAAATATAAAACCTGTTTTCCCATCTTATGATTTAATAATATTTAACAATAAATATATGAAAACCCGATAATGTAAGTCCACATTTCAATACATAAATATCAAGCTTTATAATAATTTTACATGTCTTTCCCCTTTTTTCAAGAGATGAAAAGGCAGAGATCAATACAGGAAGATACAAAGAGAGGAAATGAGGAGAAGGCTGCGATAACTGAGACTCAGAGGAAGCCATCAGAAGATGAAGTGCTTAATGTATATTAATTTTTTGTCTGGTTTCATGATTGCTGATAATTCCAAACTGTATGTGGAAATAGTGCCTTTATTTGTTAAAATGAGATGTTAGGTTTTTTTAGATGTCAATCTCCAGTGCATTCAAAGCAGAGTGAGAGGGGTGCACTGTTGAATTAGTCTGCAGTGTGGTGATAATTGTCAGATAAAAAAAATGAATTTTTCAGAGTTCCACAGCCCCAGCTTCCTTGAGACATTTCCATCAGGGCACTTCCCATAAAGAGATTCCAGTATTGATCTACCGGGAGGATTTTAATTATTACAATAGCAGATACCGCAGAGCTGCAGTTAGAGGGAAGAGTCACATGAGACCTGCTAGAATTTCTCAGCCAACCCATTTTGTTGGCTTGGGTTAATGGGTGTTCAACCTTTCCATTATCCAGATCAGCCGTGAATTACTAGCTGAATGATGTTTGCATTAATATAATATATATGGTAATTTCTTCACTTAATTAACGGGGAGGTTCAGCTCAGTAGGGGTATGGGCTGATCATGTGTAAAATTGATTTGTGAGGGAAATATTTGATAGACCGCAGGGAGAAAGCTGGTTTTGATGGACAGCTGCGGGACAGAAGCAGGAAGAACAAGTTTTAACCTGAATTTTTTTTGTGAGAAAACGCAACACAGCCTTTGATGGTGGTTGTTTGTTGCTCTCCATAATTTATCTAAACAGATTTGTTGGTTTTGCTGAAGCAACCTAGCGATGAGCAGCTGTTTTGTACTACTGTCATATCTACACCAAAACATCAAAACTTTTTACAAGCCAGAGTTATTTTTAGCCTGGTTGTACTTTTGCAGAGCTGAAAAGATCTAGCACAGTAAGTTCATATTATATATTCAGATGATACACATGAACTCTTGGGATATTTCAGCCTGACACAGCATTTCTTTTCATCTTCTAATAACAATTGTTAACAATTATGCATGCTGACATTAGGGAAGTTTTCATACTATTTTCAATTAATTATAGTTGATGAAAGACAATATATTGCACATCACCTCAGCTCCCCAGGCTGATTGTTTTTTTCTTCAGGGACTGCTCTAAGGGAGTTTTGTTGTTGTTTTTCTGGCTTTACGACAGGTAGAACTGATACTTTTGGCTGTTCTATAGGAAGGGAAGGACCAAATTAATGGGGACAAAACATGCTTAAATTCAGATACTCCAAATTTCAAAGTTCTGTGCTCCTTGCTGGTCCTGGGAGCTCAGCCATGCCAGTAGCCTTCACTTTGAAAGTGTATTTATTTGAAATAACATACTGGTGTGATCATTATACCTGTTGCCTGAATATGAAGCTGAACTGGTGATTTCAGAAACATTTTCAGAAAAACAATTGAAAATGTTCAGCAGAAGTATCTGAGACCCTTATGCAGCAACAAGTTAGACTCTAGTGGGGAAATAAGCCTCATAGAGAAAGCCTGTATACTGTTCCCAAAGGACAGTGATTTTAGTTGCATCCTTTACATCCCTTAGATCTGCACATGAAAAATGAAATCATTTTGCCAGGTGTGGGTTTTTTTTCCCCTAACTTAAACCATTTGCCAAGGCTCTGGGGCAGGCATAGGAAGAAGAAGGAAAAAGTGGATGGGATTACATGGAAGGAGTAATATTTTTTTTTCCTAACTGATGCCAAAACACGCTTCAAGAATGATATTTCAGCACTCTATACAGGCTGAAATAACTCGATACAGCCAAAATACCCAGTAAAAGTCGTTGAGCCACATGGGAATAACTTGGAGGTACTAATGACTGTTCTTGGTCTCCTAGCGAGGCAGCCAAACTGCTTTGGGAACATTTGGAGATTTGGGTGGTCATCTGTGGGGCAATGCTGAGAAGTTCTAGGGTACAAGAGACAGGCTTGACTCGTTAGTTTTTCCACAGCATTCTCAGTAAGGTTCAATACTATTTATCAACTTGGCATCCCAGGGCCACCTCTTGGGTGGGTGTCAGCCAGTGCAGAGGCTGGACAGCTCGAAGTAGTCCCCATGCACATGAGTGTCTGCCCGGTGCTGTTTGTCACCACTTCTCAGGATAAGAATCACAGTTAGAGTAATTAGCAGTATTTCTACAGGTCATGTGGATCAGGGCAATTGCCTGCAGTCAGAGAAACCCAGAGAGGCATGATAGCCCAGGCTGGTAAGCCTTGGCATTACAGTTGACCCAGAGGAACCAGGGAGCTTCTTTTGAGTTTGGTTTTGATTTCAAAAGCCCACTTTTTAATTGTCATTAGAGACTCTCGTGCTAGTTCTTCTAGCCCCTAAAATTAGTGTTTTAAAATTGAATAAGACCTGAATGGAGGAGTAATGGCATGTTAAATAGTGCTTTATTTGGATTACGTTTCCTTTCATTATGCTTTGTTACAGCAGCTTTTATGTACTTAGAAATAAATTAGAGGAATTTCAAAAAGCCAGCCAGGTAGTAAAAAACTGCAAAATCAAATGTTCCCTAAAGAAAAAACAGAGTGTTTTAATAAACAAATAAGAACATTTGGCAAAATTGTAAAGTTTATGAAATGTAAGTGTTAGCTTTTTGGTAGCGAGCATGATATTTGGTTGTTTAGGTAAGTGCCTTACTAAGTGTTTGTGGAAAGGAAAAATGCAACTTACAAGTGATGTTTTTTCTTCCTGTTTGTTCTCTTTAACAGAAAGGGTTCAAAGACACCAGTCAGTATGTTGTAGGAGAATTGGCAGCACTAGAGAATGAGCAAAAGCAAATTGACACCCGTGCCGCGCTGGTGGAGAAGCGCCTTCGCTATCTCATGGACACAGGTACGGTGCCCAATTACACTGTAAACAGTTTTGGCAAATTGAGCGTTCACAAACTCTTATAGAGTTTTGGAAGTGTGAATCTTTGAAGCCTGAATGTTCAGCAAAACTGCCTTGAAAATAAAAAGGCTGCGATTTGCAGCCACCTCTCTGGGCCCTGGTGATAAGAGTGCCTTCATGGGAAGTGATAACTTGCCCTGATACCGTGTGAGCCAGCACTATTGAACAGTGTGCTCATCCATGCAGAGTTGGAATACACATCTGTGCCTCATTGATATGCCACTGCTTTAAAAAAAAAAAAAAAAAAAGTAAGATCTTCACTGTTCTACTGATTCAGTGGGAAAAAAAAAGATTTGGCCAGCTAAAGCCATGTACTGCATGAAACAGAGCACAGTACATGGGGGAAGGCTCCATTGACTAGATCACTGAAATTTGAGAATACTATCTGGATACTGATGCTCCACAATTCTTTTATTTATTTATTTATCTATCTTTTTATTTATTTATTTTCATGAGAGTGAGTTTTAAAAGTCTGTAATACTACTTGATGTTGTGGGTGCAGTTGAAAGAATTAAAGTATGTAGACGATTTTTTGTTAAAAACGTGACGATTTTGTCTTCTGTGATGAATGTTAGATGGTTACTAAATGTTGATGGTCATCAGAGATGGAGGGTTTTAACTACATCATTTGTAAACAAAGAGTCCTCCGATATTTCAAAAATAAACAATATTGTAGGTCCAAAAATTGTTTTTCCTGTCCCTTGGGGGAAAAATTTAGTCGGTCCAAATTAGTTTGTGGATAAATTCTCTTTGCAAGTTATATGCATATCTGATGGTATAAACCTGAAGCCTGTCTTTAACTGAAATAACAGATTTTAAAGGAGATTGAATCCAGTGTTATGTTTTGAAATTCAGAAGGATAGACTTTAGTTAAAGTTCAGTATTTTGAAGTGAGCTTGCCACATGCTTCCAAATATTAGAGTGGGTTTTTTTTAAATGTATTTATTTTGTCATGTGTTCAGGTGATTTGACTTCTTGAAATAGTTTTACAAAAAAATCTAACTCACAAACTATTTCCACCCTGGATGAACGCTTGTCTAGTAGCATTTTTACCTGTTGCATTCTTTTGAAGGTTTTTGTCAAATGCTTTATATGACTCTTAGTTATTTAGCTAGAGAAAATGAGTATATATTATCCTTCACTTTCTTGTGTACTTTGTTACATTTGTGAAATATAAGTTCAGCACGAAAGAGTACAGTGTTTCACAGGTCTCATATGAACCCCCAGATATCATCAGCAGATATACATAAATTCATCAGCATAGTACTTGGGGATTTTTAAAACTCTTAATGTTATTATTTGGTTTATGTTGTTTATTCCATTTTAAAAGAGGTTTCTTACATTTCTTACGTTTTTTAGTTGTTGTGTTTTGAAGTATGACAAAAGTTGCTGTATTCTGTGTGTCATGCACACAATGAGATGATGTTTCTTTTAAGTATCCTACATAAAATGGGGAGTCTAGCACTTAGCTAGAGTGGTTTATACAGCGTAGCTCTAAGGGTTGTAACAGGAATAGTAATGAATACCCTCACTTCTCTTACGGGGATAAGGAGACAAATGGTGCATCCATGATAAAAAAATGACTTTTATATTCTTGATCATTTTCTGAGCATTCAGGATTTACCTTAAAACAAATGTTTTGACAGCTCATTGATATAAGATCTTATTTATTTTTCTGTATTTACATTCTCAACTTGAAAACATGATTTAAGAAAAAACATGAAGAAAGGGAAGTTTCTTATCTACAGTTAACTTTACAGCCTCAAAAGCAGGATTCTCCAATTTCTGTAACTACGGTTCACATCTTAACAGAGAACCTATCTCATGTACCACCTCCCTTGCCAATCAATATCCCATGTGCAGCAACTACAGTTGCTTATGTGGAATAGAAGTATTAGGGAGGTTTAGCTGGGGTTTTTGAACAGTCCTTAGTGCTGTATGGTAATAGGAAAAATATGAACATCTCTTTTTGCAATGCCTTTAAAATGCTGTTGTGTCAGCTCTGTTTCTGTGTCTCTCATCTCGTTAGTGGCTCTTTTTGGCAGGATGGCACTCATTTTTCTTCCCTGCCTCTCTTCAGGAAATCATTCCTGATACAGGCAAATAAGCAGGTGTGCCTTGTCTTAGTCCCAGCTCCTTCTGTAAGGGTCTGGGCTGCTTTGCCCAAGTGTCTGACTAGCCAAGAGAGAGAAATCTGGAAACAAAAAAGATGAGTCAACACCATATGACCTGCTAGCTTGCCACAGACCATCAATGGTCTGTGAAGCCAAGTTTGGAGGAAGAAAGTAACCACTGCATGATAGCTAGAGAAGACCTGAAGGGCTGCTGTTGATGATCTTGGGGTTTTGCAGACACCCCTCTAGGTGTTAGTATACCAGAAAGATGAGAAACATTAAATGCTGCCAGCAATCAGAGGTGTGCTGAAGAATCTTTTTATATTTTTTTTTTTCTGAAAATACAGGTCTTAGGAACCAGGAGGGTCATATAGGGAGGAGTAGCTAAAAGCTTTGTTTCCACATGTGCCAAAACCATAAAAGATAAATGAAACAGCTGGGAGGCTCACATCATTCACGTGATGATTCAGTCAGTTCTTTGAAATTAAGTTCAAGAAAAAGGTAGAACGTTGTCTGCTCATCTGCCTTCTGTCTGCTGGGAACTGGACCATCTTTTCCTTCTCTACTGTGCTTGGCCTTGTTCTCTATTAGACTTACTAGGAAGATGGCTTTCTCTTCCTTCTTATTCTCCTCCAGCTCAAAACTGAGGGTGTTCTTTTTCCAGTGGGGAGACTCTTTGCCACCTGGCAGCTCTTCATCCTCTGAGTTTGAGAGTCCTTTTTGTTGCTCAGACAGGAGGGATTGTTTTAGGCTGCAGTTTGAGTATCTATTCTGACTACATTAATTTCACAGGAAAACACTTCATCTCCTGCTCCCATGTATCAAGGCATTAAAACAGGTACAAATTTCCTTACTACAAGCTAGTGGCAAGACCAGAAAGGTATAGAGACTAACCTCTGGGCAACGCAGGCTGTGGTAAATGTGGAAGAATTCATAGGTTTCACCAAAAGGGAAGCAGTTGTAAGTATAGACAGTGTATATTCTTGGTTAGATTCCAGCTCATGGCACTGTTTGTCTTTGTTAGCTACTCCATGTACTTTTTAGTGAGAGTTTCTGGCACTTAAGATTGCACATACAAGTTTGAAAGTGCCACCCTGGTTTTACTAGGGTAACAGGGTCTGTGGGTAGCTGCAAGGATTGGGTCTTGGAGGTTCTCCATGCCCCACTCCCTTTCTGCCATGGACCAGGAGGAGAGGAATCCCTGACATGATGGTTTCTAGTCAAATGCCTAGGATACAACCTGGGTTGCAGAGCTTCATCTTCTGCCCTGCATTAGGAAAAGGGCATCTAGTGGAAATGGGACTGCAGGAAGAGAGCCCCGGTCCCCGTCTGCACATGCGTTAACATTTTGCAGCCCTGCAAGACAGCCTTTTTGGCTGGGGAAGACAAGCTTCTGGCTCCTGGCCAAAGAGGAGCTGATATTTTCAAAGTTCATCAGCCAGGCAAAGAGCTTGGAACTGGCTGAAGCTTTGCATTTCCAGTGCCAGCTGCTCATGATTTGACTAGAAACACTTTCCTAAGATGTGTGAAAAAATAAAAGTTATTAAAATCCCTGGGTTGCTGATTTCCATTTGAATCTGAATAGTCACACTTTAATTAATATCCAGTAATTTATGTCACTGGTGGTGTAACCTCAGTCCTTGGTCTTTGCACTTAAAATGAAAATGTAATCTCACCTTGTTCCAGTGAAATGTAGTTTACTGTAGTTTACATTGCAAAACTGTGAGGGAAATCAGTGCTTCAGTGCCTCGAACTCGGTAGAATAAGCCGATGGCACGTTTGCTGTCAGTGTCTGGCTCTATGCGAGGGTTACCTGCACTGACAGGGTTCTGCAAGGTACATCACGTGAAAGAGACCGTCACAAGAAGTTTGGTGGGTGCAAGTGTTTAGAGAAAACATGGCGCAGAGGTTCAAGCAAGAGGGATGAGTTGTATGATCAAGTATAAAAATCATATAATGTAATATCCTTGATTTCCCTTCTTCCTCTGTTATAATGATTTGACATTAAACAATGACAGGGGCAGGATTATCTTGCTTTCTTCAGGATTGTACTTGCCGATATTGTGCCTAACCTGTTATGGATAAAATAGGTTTGTCTCTACTTCTGACAGTGTCTTTCTCCACTGCAATTTCTTCTGTCATTGTATTTTAAGGTGTCTATCATCTTGATATCCAAATGCCAATTAAAATTCAGAATTATCGCATAATACAATTAAAATAAAAAACAAAGAAGCCTAGTTTACAAATCTCTAATCTAAATTTAGCTCTTTTTTGGTCACTATTTCTTCACTAATTGCAAAAACAACTATTTGAAAAAAAAATTGCAGCTATCAGATATTTTGTTATCTGACCACAGGGTATGAAGTGATTTTAATTGTTTTTTTGATTAACTGCAAGCTCCCAAATTCAAGCAGAAGCATTTTTGTATTTTCCGTATGAGATCCTGTACCTTAGCAATGGAAGAGTGTGTTTGTGGTACTGTGTAAGGACTAATGAAATAAATAAAAAAACCCTCTGCTGCTGCTGATTGACCACTGATGGTAAATGTAATTGAATTAGCAGTGCACTAAAATAAAAGTAGACAAAATAAATATAGACAAGAAAATCTGGTGAAAGCTTCTGTAATGTTTTATATTAATAGGCATACAGAATTCTTCACATTTTTTATTACGTTGTCCCTAGATGAATTCAAAGTAATTGGGGTGGTTAATTTTATTTACACAGAGCCGTTCACAGCGCATTAAATAATAGAGATAATTGAACAAGAATTGTCAAGTGTGTACTGATATCAGACATATTACAGAAGGGAATGTGCATAAAACTTCATTT